TTATTTCTTCCAAATTACACCATATCCATAGAATTGCCACCTAAATCAAAATATGAACGTAATGAGTACATTTTGGCATTGATTAATCATATGAGCACATAAAATAAGGAAGAAAAAAAATATGCATTTTACATTCCTATCAAAAACCTTAGCTCTGATATCAGTTTGTTATAAACAACGACAAAAATACCAGATAATTTTGACACCATTTTTTTGTGAAAATAGGCAAGAAAAAAATATATATGAAGTAATTTATCACAAACTCAAGAATAAAATATTTGGCAAATGAATGGAGATTTCACTAAAATATGAAGAAAGAATACAATGATTTTGTGTTTATGATTTGTTTAACTTAATTTATATTACAATGAAGAGCTAAATATATATATATAGAGAATGTTTCAAACCCTAAAAATACAGTTATAGATGAAAATGAATGCTCAAAACGTGTAAAACATGAAAAAGGGTCAGGTCTGGATGAATATGACACTCTAGCACCGGTTGGCATTGCCCTGACGCTTGAGCGTTCGATCGGTGCTAGGTGGCGCCAGCTTCACTTTTTGAGTGTTCGAGCTCCAGTTAAGCGTCATGGAAGCATAGTTGCGTTGAAAAGTCCTCCCTAGTCTATATCTTGATCTCTTCAAATCCAACACAAATTTCAACTTCCAATATGGCTTTCAAATAGAACTTCAAATAGAATTTGCCAAATAAATTTCAAATAAAAATCCAAAAGCAACAGAATAGATATAATTTTTCTTTACGAGTCATTCACATAAAATGTACATCATGGCTAGAGAAGGTTGAGGAAAGACATGTTTCAACATGTTGGAAGTGGATTGTCTTGAGACAAATCTGTGTAAAATACATTCTCATACAAGTAACAATACATCCATGTTTTAGGTGAGGAGATAGATATCAACAGAATCTGACTGTGATTCTTAATGGAGTTGAACTTGTAACGGTGAGAATTTATTATCTTGTGGACTCTCATAAGTCATAATTACTATTCCAAACTTTCATGTCTATGCTGCTTCTAGTCTATATTGACATCAATTTATATTTTATTCTGATACATCCATGTCTCAAGGTGAGGAGGTTGAGATCAATAGAATCTAAAAGTGAGATTCATGACAGATTCAATTTGTAATAATAAAATATATCATTTTTTAGACTATAATTATAGAAATACTATTTCTAGACTTACATGCTTCGTGGGTAAATACAAAATGATATAATAATAAATTCTCTCTTCAACTTTGATTATTTAGGATTTTTAATTCCACAATGTTCTTCTCCGAGTTTATACTCTTTTCAATGAGGAACGAGATTTTCAAACCAAAATAAATGACCTAATTATAGAACTACAAATTTGAACTTACCCAAGAGTTCATCTTATTGCATTGAGGAAAGAATTTGCACAGAGATGTCATAAATTTTGGAACATTGTCCTATATAGAAGTATAGTTGTCTTCTCTATGAGAAGTGAGTTTGAAAATCGCGAATGACAGTCATTTTATGCTTAACGTGTCAAATTAAAACAGAAGAAATGTCGAATTTGTTATATAGTCCCTAGGAAATCTCTTTCTTTGTACTTATACCCTAATCTGTCAAGATTTTGCAATGACTCGTGCTTTGCTGCATTTATCCTTGAAATCTTCTTTTAAAAAGTATTTTAAGGTTGCTTTTCGATCTCTCTTCATTTCTAAACTAGTTTCTTCTCAAATCTATCATTTCCAACATATTTTACAAATGTGGCCTTCATCACATTATATAACTCCACTTTCTATGAATAGAGAATGAAGATTAATCAAGGTTGTCTCTGCACAGCTTCCTCAAGTTTCCTACACTTTTCTCCATAGATTTCCAACATATTTTACAAATGAGGCCTTCATCACATTATATGACTCCACTTTCTATGAATGGAGAATGAAGATTAATCAAGGTTGTCTCTGCACAGCTTCCTCAAGTTTCCTACACTTTTCTCCATAGAACATTCTAGAGTTCAAGATCCTCCCAAATAGTGGCAGAGGCAAGACTCTAAATTAGTGAGGCCTAATTTAACTATGAATTTCTTTCAAACACAAAATATAATAATATTAAAAATAAAAAATAATGAAAATAAAAATGTCATAATAAAAATATCTTTCTCCAATATTCTAAAAACTCGTTCAAGAATCTTCAATGGAATGCTATGAACTTGAACTAGTCCACGACGTTTACAAGGTTCTAGAGTTCCCATAAACCTTTTTGAAGATCCAAAATGTGACGACCCCTAAATTCTGTTTGATTTTTTTATAGAGTTCATTTTCAATTTTCTGTTTTCGAGATTTGTTTTAAAAATTGTTAAAAAAAAATTTTGGTTTTTCACTCTGAAAAACTATTTTTCAAAATAGATAACTAAACGTTTTTTGTTGGAATTTTGAAAAATGATTTTATGACTATTTATTCCATGAAATTTGATTATTCGATAACATGGAATAATTCTATGTTAATATATTATCAAGTATTATATTGGTGAATTTTAAAATTATTTTTTTTTCGCTACAAAAGTAAAATAAAAAATCATGATGTTGACTGAGAATTTTTTGATTACAATGCGTGAAAATTGTGTTCTCTAATTTAGCCTTTTTAATTTGATTAAGTTTAGTTAATCTGAACTTATTTTTCCTATTATTCCTTTTCGATTACTTAAAATGGCCTATTCATAGGATGACGATAATTTTGATTATTTCTAGTACAAATCAAATATTTCTAGAATAATAAAAGTAATACATTATTTCTAAAATTAGCTTCTATTATTAGGCTACATATGAAAAATTTCAAGTAAAATGTTTCAATAATCAACCAATTTATACTATGGTAATGGAGTACTCACTAAACTTCAAAATGTATCACAATGCTTACTGTAGTTTGTTCATTTCCATTCCATCAATTATTTGTTAGATTCCGTTCCCCTCATTTGCTGACATGTCAAACAAAAAAACTACACGACAAATTACGATCGTTAAAAAAATTACAACTCAACAAACCATCCAGTAAAATATTACATTGCTCACCCAACTTATAATATGGTCACAGTTTACTCATCAACTTCAAAATATTTTTCAATGTTCACTCATCTTTGAAAGTTACACTTCATTCATCTTCTACCAATTCTGTTCTCTTTTTTGATGATGTGTCACACGAAAATTCCACGTGACATATTGTCAAAAAAATTACAACTTAGCCAAACCATCAAACTTTCCAAAATCACCACATGTGAAACTCAACTTTCATATCCCCATAACCTTGTTCAAGCCCATTTGTTCGTCCCTATTTTAGCCCTCAATTTACTCATCTTACTCACGTAAAACTATGTCCCCGTTTGGTCATATTATTTCTCATTAAATTATAATTCATTTTTCTCTTTCTTCTTATAAACCACACATTCTCCAATAAAATAATATTACACGTAAATTCGAAATTTGTACTTCTTTTTTAACCACATATTTTTCAACAAATTACTATTACTCTCATTATAATGTGAAATAATGAGGGCCAAACGGACACTAAATTGTGTAATGAGACAGGGACGATCATTGAGAAGAACGTGAGAAATGATTACTTACAAAATTCAATCCCCTAATTGTACCATTTGTCTGGCATCTCCCTAATTACAATCTTCCATTTTTGCAAGCGTGTGTCTAACCATTTGAGAAATGAAATGGTATCAAACTCCAACAATTGGTGTAAGGCTAAAATACACTTTCGGCCATGTTCGTGATTGTTGTTCTTTGTTTCTCCATCAGATTGTAGTTCGATAACGTTTCTTTCCTAAAATGGTCGAACACAAGTGTGCAAAAAATAAAATATTGAGATTAGGGAGACACCGGGCGGATGGTACAATTGGGGATATGTCTTTATAAGTGGTAGATTCTCTCATTTTTCTCAACAATCAATCATGTCTCAGCATACAATTAAACTTTATGTAGGTGAGATGAGTAAATTTGGGGCAATGGTTTTTCGGGGAACTGAAATTGGGAATGAACTATTGGGGCTTAAAGAAGTTTATGGGGGTTAGGTTTCACATATAGAAATTTTGATGAGTTGAATGGTTTAATTGAGTTGTAAATTTTTTAACGATCATAACTTGTCATGTGAAATTTTTGTGTGACACGTGAGCAATGAAGGGAACAGAACCTGACAAGTGATGAATGGAGTGCAACTCTAAAAAATAAGTGAATATTGTGGAGCATTTTTATGTTTGATGAGTAAATCATGATATAATATAAGTTGGGTGAGTAATAAAATATTTTATTTGGATGATTTGGCTAAGTTGTAATTTTTTAAACTATACTCCTTCCGTCCCAATTTATAGACTTATTTAGTTTTTCACACGGATTAAGAAAGTTTATTTAATGTCATTGAAAAATTAATTTTTGTCAAGATTTTTCCTAATTTACCACTATTTAATTTTCAGTGTATAAAACTAAATTATTGTTGGAATTAATAAAGAATTTGAATTTTCAAGAAGTTTGCATATTACCCTGTTTGGTGCATATTTTGAAGGTAAGAATGCATTTTTACTGTTGATGTGATGGGAAATATGTGATTGAAAAATAAGGAAAGGTTATTGATGTGATAGAAAATATTATTTTATTGAAGAATATGTGGTTGAAAATGAATAGAAGAATGAAAAAAATAATATATACCAAACAGGGCAGGTGAGGAAAATTTAATAAGGATATATTAGTAAAAGAATACAACAAAATATTCTGTATTAGGAAACAAGCATATATATTTGGGACAAGAGAACAAGAAAATACGGCCTATATAATTGGGACGATGGGAGTATTAACTTGTCATGTGAGATTTTCGTTTGACGCGTTAGCAATGAGGGAAATGAAATTTGACGGATGATGANAAATAAATAAATAAATAAAATATTTGTCCCTTGCCTCCGTCCCTGCCTACAAGCTTGAAACCCTAATCCTAATTCTCCCGTTCGCCTGCACCCATCAATGAAGAAACAGAAGATTACAGCCTCTTCCTCCACGCCTACGCCAACCATTGACCTGAAATCTGTAATCCGATCCCACAGCCAATTCTTCGACCACTTAGTTGAATTGATTCCAGCAAAATTTTACCTCTCAAACGATGATGCAGATTCCAAGCCCTGGTACCAGGGCCTCTCAAAAGCGGCCAAAGCCTCTCTGAAACAACAGTCCAGGATAAACCTTAAAATCGCCCGCCGTAACCGCCTTGACCCGGAGAGCAAGTCATCCTCCTCCACTCTCCACCTACTGCAACAAAAGATTAGGTCTGACCCAGATGAACTAAATCTGAAGGGTAGTTTTGGTGATTTGGAAGAGGATGGTGATGCAGAGGATACTCGGGGTAAGTCTATTGATTTGGAGGAGGGAGTTGAGAATGTTAATAGGAATGAGTCTGTTACCTATGAAGAGTTGCGGCAGAAATTGCGGAGAAAGATTGAGTTGTTGCGTGGCAATCGAGGAGAAGGTGGAGGAAAAAAGGTTGATGATAAGGTGAAGAATGATGGAAAGAAGAGGAAGAGGGCTGAGAATGATGGGGAGGAGAGCGGCAAGTCCGGGAATGTGAATGTGAATGAGGGGGAAGATGAGGAGGAGATTATTGAATATGGGAAAGTGAAATTAGGGGGTGAAGAGGAGGGGAAGAATAAAAAGAAGAAGAAAATGTCGAAGGTGAAGGAGTTGGAAAGAGCGAAGAGGTTGCAGGAGGTGAAGAGGGAGAACATGGGTGTGGCTGAGAGGGAGTCATGGAGGGCGGCAACCAGCCGAGCAATGGGGGTGAAGGTGCATGATGATGCACGAATTATCAAGGAGAGCATAAAGAAGGAGAAGAGGAAGAAGGAGAAGAATGCAGAGAAGTGGAAGGACAGGGTGGAGTCGCAAGAGAAGATGAAGAAGGAGAGGCAACAAAAGAGGAAAGATAATATCATGGGGAGGATTAAGGAGAAGAAGGCTAGGAAGATTGCCAAGCGCGAGAAGAAGTTGATGAGGCCTGGATTTGAGGGACGAAAGGAGGGCTACATTACTAAAGATTGAAGGTTTAAGAAAGAAGTTAACTTTTTCTCATATTTATTTAAATTAATGAATTATTTCTACAGATGTCCTCTTATAAGCAAGGAAACCTTATGCCATGCAAGAATTTTGTGGTTCTGAGCATCTAGAAGTTAAACTCAATGTCATGTTGTACTCTGCTGGTTAAATGATTTGACCTTTTTTTTATCATTGCAATTGATTCATTCTACAAAGTTGCAGCTATGTATCTTAGTAAAATTTAATTGGAATTTTGAGTAATAGGTGGTGGGGTGTTTTATTTGCCTGGATCCGAGAGTCATATCACAATGTTTTTGAGTTCAACTTGACTGGATGGAGAAATTTAGCTATTTTCTGTATTTGTCAGACTTCTGGAGGAGTGTTTCCTTTCTCTTACTTTTTGGAGAGCCTAGCCAAAATTCCATGGCAAATAGCTTTTGAAATTCTTTTAATGATAATAAAGTTGCTGAAATGGTTCTCTATTTTTAGCTTATATTCAACCTTAGTGAATATACCATTTTTGTCGCCTATACATTGTGGGTTCTAGATTTACAAGGTAGTGTCTGCTCTCTGTCACGCCATTGGTAATATGTTTAGATCAGCACCATGATTAGATCAGCACATGACCAGAAGTGGGAGTTTGGACATCATGTTTAGATTTCAACACAAATGCTGCTTAATTTTTAGGTTCCACTAATCATTCAGTTTAATGTAGTTATGGTATAAGGGTGTTTTTCTACATGCATGACATTTTTGATAATGGAACAGGGTATTAACCATCTGTATGGTGACGTTTATTATCAACTAAAAGTTGGATTAGTTCTCTGATACTTTGCCAATCTATTCAAGGTGTAATTTAATAAGAACTATTCACTTGTTCTCATCTGTCCTCCATGTTGGCCTTAGTCTACAAACTTTTATTATTTTGTATCTGGCAACCACCATCTCATTGTCAAACACATCTGGCATCTCTTAGATCATAAAAAAAATGCAGGGAAAATTGCAGCCACAATACCAAATATTTCACATTTTTGCAGACTTTGCCCAAACCTTTGTTTTGTGCCACTCACATTATCAAACTTTTAAACAATTTGCACCCGGAGTTCAAATGGACGGTTTTCGTCCAGTTGACCGTTAGTTGACCAAAAAAGTCAAAATTGATCAAATTCATTAAGGACAAAATGGTAACTTTGTATTTTACATTTAAAATGCTTATAAACAAAAGAACAAGAAATGAAATGAAATAAAAAAATCACTGTTCATCTAGTCCAATTGACCGTTATTTGACCAATAAAATCAAAATAGACCAAATTCATTTAGGACAAAATGGAAATTTTGTATTTTACATTTAATATGATTATAAAGAAAAGAAAAAGAAATGAAATGAAATAAAAAAATCACTGTTCATCTTCTTCATCCTCTCTTCCCCCCACCTTCACCTAACCTCATCACAACCTCAGCTGCAACCCCACTATTCATCTTCTTCATCCTCTCTATTTGCCAATTTTTTCTTCATCACGTTCCATATTAGTGCATTATTCGCCTTAACTAACCCGGACCCGGCCACAGTTCAGATCCAGATGGTTCTACAGGTCCCTTCACCGTCGGTCACCATCTCTGCCTTCCTAGAACAGTTGGACATCGCCGCCTGTCCGTTGGACCTCCCTGACCAACTCTTCCATGATATAAAATTCGCTTGTGGTTCAAAAATCTACTACCCAAATCAACTCCATCAGACCCGCTGCTGCCCGGTTTTCACGGCATGGCTTTACTCCGCCTATTCGAGCACCGCATTACAAGCGTGTCTTACCGAATCCCCGTCGCAAATTGCCTCTTATGACATGCTGGTCCTGCCTAATGACTCTGGGACATGTGTCGACACTCTTGAAAAAGCTTTGGGAAGTCAACCACTTTTTCGACAAATTGATTCCACAGGTGGTGCCAGCTCTCCTCAACATTAGTGATCTGTAGCTTGGACTACAGCTCGTGCAGTGAGGGATTGTTGGGCTATGTTGATGGCGGCACGTCTGTTGTGATGGGTTTGCCTTTGTCGTAGTGGCGATGCGTTTGTGTTGGGTTTTGGCATGTCTGTGTAGGTGGCGGTTCTGTTATGTCGTTGAACTGTAGCATATAATTTAGGGAAAATTGCAGCTGAGGTTGGAGGAGGAAGCGGTGGTGGTGGTGGTGCCGGCAACGTGCTAGTTGTTGTGCCAGTAGTTTTGGTTTTGGGTTTGGTGGGGTGGAGTGGAGTGGGGTGGTTGGAAAAGATAATAGGGTTTTTTTGATTTTTGATTTACTTATTTTATTTTAGTTCTTTTTTTATATGGGAAAAGGGAAAATTATCATTTTACCCATAATGAATTTGGTCAATTTCGACTTTTTTGGTCAACTAACAGTCAATTGGACGGAAATCATCCATTTGGACTCCGGGTGCGAATTGTTTAAAGGTTTGGTACCGTGGGTGGAACAAAACAAAGGTTTGGGCAAAGTCTGCAAAAATGTGAAAGGTTTGGTACCGTGGCTGCAATTTTCCCTAAACATGCATATATGCCATTAGAGCATGTTAGGTTCTTTCGGAAGCCTATTTTTGGGAATGTCTGTCAATGCCTCTAGCTCTTTTAGAACAAGTCCACCACCTTCTAGAAGACCAAAATAAGTTCAGATCACACAAGTGTAAGACACGAGATTACTTCTTTTGCATATAATCCGTTCAGCTTTATTCGTGTCCGGTCTTGTTCTTGGCTATGTTTATAGTATGAGAATGGGTAGGGAGGGTTTAGAATCTTGTTTCTTTATTGCATTTGAAGTTGGAGGAAGGGGGTGAAGGTAAGGGGAAGGTGAATGTGGTAACGGAAGTCCCTGTAATATAAGGAAAAGGAAAAGAGGAGTGCAATAGCAGAGGAGGATGACCATGAGTTGCCTTCTCTGTCCATCTTCTAATTTTTATCTCAGCAAGGTGGATCAATGTTTTTGACTTGAGAAAAATTATTAAAAAATTGTCAAATCAGGTGACTAAAATTTATAAAACGTGAAGAATTTGCATGCCTCTCCACTTTCTTTGCATTCCTCTTTTCTTCTAGTTGAGAAATAAAATCCCTCCCTTCCTTCCATTGTTCGTCTCTTCTTTGACTTCCATTCATATCTTTGTATCTGGAACATGACCAAAAGCCAATGCCTCAATGATGGCTAATGGCTTCTGGAATTAAGTGACTTGAAAAAAATATATATATATCCAGCATTTTCTTATAGTTCATAATAAAAAACGCCATTTTGATTTTTGCTTAGGATTGACATTGCATATTGTTTTTGTATGGATTTTAGTTTTTACTGGTAATAGTTTACCAATGATTTAGGGAAAATGGCGGCCGTGGTCCCAAACCTTTCATTTTGTTGCAGATTACACCCATACCTTTTATTTTTGCGGTCGAAGTCCCAAACCTTTATATTTAGTTGCAGCGTCGGTCCCAAGCCTTTAATTCCGTCCATAAAACTGTCAGTCAATGTTTCAACAGTAATTTTGACTCGAAAAAATTGCAACACTAGTCCCAAACCTTTCATTTTGTTGTAGATTACATCCAAACCTTTAATTTTTGCGGTTGAATTCCTAAACCTTTATATATAATTATAGCGTTGGTCCATTTCACGCATTCCGTCTATAAAATCGCTTGTAACATTCAAACAGTAATTTTAACTCAAATGACATCTTAATTGATAGGTAAAATTGTCAAAACAAGTTAT